TTTTACCCATTTTTTTTTTGGAAACGACCCACTTTGCTAATTTGATAACTTGATAGAATATAACATTTACTTACTTTGTTTGCATTTTAGAACATAAGTGAGCGGTGATAATGAAATGCATTCTTGGGATATTAATTGCCATTAGTGATTGTTCAATGAAGGAGCCTTGATTGAGGGCCAAGCCATTTGTTGGGCCTCCCTTGTTACCCAATCCCGCCACCCATCACAAAAGAGAAATGTTAATTTTGGGTCGGGTTTTACACGTCCATTTATCCTAGAGCCTAGCTATGCCCAGTACTAGTAGGCTACTGAGCTGAGCCCATGATCAAAGCCATAATGGAGAAATGATGTGTTGCATGCCTGATACTTGAAGCTGATCTAACTGACAATATATCAAGAAGGCTTGTGACAGGTTCAGGCTGCAGAAGTAACTATGGAACTGCTTATGAACCATCTGACTAGTCACAAAATAATGTAACGGTGCACTTTGAGCATTCAATATCTGCAAATTTTTGCATCAGATCTCTAGCGAAATGATCAACTAATTATGCAAACAATGGATGGTGGACTGGCCATTGTTTGTTTCATGCCTGAGAACTTATTAGATAAGTTGAACATTAATTAGCTTTCACAGGATTCTTCATGCCAAAGAAAAATCAGCAAAATATGGAACTGGTTTTCAAAGGCTATTGCATTCTCACTCTGGATGCACAACAGGATGTACATTATTTGTACACTGGCTTCCTCTCTGGAAATAGCCGTAATTAGCTTCTTCATAAATGCAGGTCCAATGGAGTTTGATATTGAGAATTATAAAGGAGGATTGCCAAAATTGCGACCTTATGAGTACGCATGGACAAAGGTCTCATCACTCACGCGCGCTTATCAATTTTCCCTCGCATTTTTTTTTAACAATGTAATAAATCAAGTTTTATGCTTTTCAGACGGCTAGCATCATATTTGTAGATTCGCCAGTTGGTACTGGTTTTTCTTATTCAACAACAGAAGAAGGTTGGTATACTTCAGACTCAAGTTCAGCAAAGCAAGCATGCGAGTTTCTCAGAAAGGTTAGTAATACAGGATCCGCAACAATATGATGCTTCTGACCAAGTGAATACAAAATTTGTTATCCATTGTTATGAAGGATTCTGTCACATTAAATTGAATGGAGTTTAATTATCTCTTTAATGATCAACTCACTTAAAACATGCAATGCTTATACACACACTGGTTGGTCGAACACCCTCAGTATCTCACTGTTCAACTATTCATTGGCGGTGATTCTTACTCTGGCATGGTGGTTCCCCTTGTCACCAAATATGTAGTGGATGGTATATCTTTCACATGGATTAATATCTTTTTCTTGTTGTCCATACAAGATTCAGTCTAAATAATTTTTGGCTTTTTTCTATGGACTTTTAGCTAACAAGGATGGTGTCGTGCCACACCCAAATCTCAAGGTAAAATTTAACCTTGGAGCTCCAGTTCTCACTTCTGCATGATCCAGCTTCAATGTGGCATTGGGGTCTTAAGCTGCTGATGGGATGTTGATCTTCAGTGTTATCTAATTGGAAGTCCTAGAACAGATTCAGTCATTGATGAGAACTCGAAGATTGTATTTGCTCACAGGATGGCACTTATCTCTGATGAACTCTATGAGGTGATTTAACCCTCTCCGGGAAGTCGGCTTCTTTTTCTCCTAGATTGATGCAGTCTTGAAGTGACTCTTTGGTTCAAAAATTTCTACGAGCATTCTCAAAAGCTACATAACATATCTTGGCTTTTATTAATTAAGTTATCAGGATGTCATATTCCTACATATGTTCCCATTCTTTGCCACATGGTATGGACTATGGTTACCCTTGTCAACAGTGAAGTCATCTGTTAAGCTTATCTAAACTATTCTGTTATCTATACTTTCCAGGCAGCAAAAACAAGTTGTAATGAGACCTATGTTAATGTGGATCCATCAAATACAGAGTGCAGGACTGCTCTTGGGAAAATCAAAATGGTAATACCAATCAAGACCTTCAATATGGAGACTTTCTCAAGTTTTAATCAGGCGTCAGACTGAATCATATTCTCAAATTGCAGTGTGTTAAAGATCTATTCCGCAGTGACATTTTGGAACCAAAGTGTGTCCTCGCATCCCCTAAAATGAACCCAGAAATTGGTCGTCGATCTCTACAAGAGGATACAACAGAGTTTTTTCTTTCACCCCTGAGAATTCCTGAATATTGGTGCAGGGTAAAATCACCGTTTTCGTTTATTAGTTAATTACATGTTATGGGAAATGTCTCTCTTTCTGTTCACAAATCATGAGTGCCTTATCTATAATTTTGATTCTTTTTGCAGTACTTTAACTATGCTTTGTCCTACACGTGGTCAAATGATCTTAGGGTCCAGAAAGCTTTAAATGTTCGAGCGGTAAGTTAGTTTAATTGGTTGGGTGATTACTCATAAGGGTAGTGACAATTTCATTCTTGCAAAATTATTTATAGGTCTCTGTAAAAATGAATACAGGGGACAGTATTGAACTGGAAGAGGTGCAACAGAAGCATGGCATCCACAAAAGACATTCAGAGCGTCGTTGAAGTTCATAAAAACCTCAGCACACTGGGATTAGAGGTCTTGGTGGAGTGGTAATTACTAGCGTCCCTCTGAGTTCCCACTCTACCAATAAACTTTGTCCGGTATGCTTGCATAGTCAATTCATCACTTTCATCTGGTACCGAGGAAATAGGCCTTTGTCCCAAATACCAGCATGAATAAGTGGAAGCAAAAACGTCGTTGATCACAATGCATAGGTTACAGCTTAACGAACATTTTGTTTGACAAGGAGGTACCTGTAGCTTCTAACCTCCTTATAGACTGTTTGATGCAGCAGTGATCGTGACATGGTTTTTCCATTTGTGGTACGGTTGAATGGATAAAACGTCTCAATTTGACGGTTGTAAATGACTGGCGACCATGGTTTGTGGATGGTCAAGTTGCAGGGTGAGTTCTCTCTTTCAATGTAGTCTTTGCTGCTTTAACGTGTTTCGAGCTGAAAGTCCTAGGTCACTGAACTGCAGAGACACGAAGAAATACTCAGAACATGGATATCGATTAACTTATGCTACAGTCAAGGTATGCAACTTTTATGTTGCTTTCTATTTTTTCTTTCCATTTTGCTGTTTTGATGTCTGTCGTTTACTTACACAAGCGAATGGAGTAATTGAAGCAACGTGGTTTTGCGTCCTTTGTAGGGTGTTGGACACACAGCTCCAGAATATTATAGAAGAGAATGCTACGAAATGTTTATGAGCTGGATCCATTATCTTCCGCACTAGTTGACAGTTAGGATTTTGGACAGTATTATAAATTTATAATGTCTTCTCTCTTCTTGTATCATCAGAGCCAGTAATCTGTATCGTTTCGACCATCGCAATAACAAAAATAAATAAATAAATACCACACAACCATTTCCTAATTTTCAGTGTTCTCATTTAGTGGATTCACATAATGCAGAGTTCATTAATTGATTTCATAGATCTCCATGATAATATCATTGGAGATATGCAAGACTAGTTCCTTCCCAAGTTTTCCCCCACATTTTTGGGACAACTTAACCCATGTAAATTCATAATACAAATACCCATAAAAAGAAAGTTTCAAAATGTTAACTATGTAACCAACTACGTTGATCCTGCTATCTTCTGCAAGTTCAGTCCTTTCTGGTTCCAATGTAAAGTATCTTCCTGAGTATGATGGAGAACTCCCCTTCAGTTTAACTATAGTACTTGTGCAGGTTCATTGCATTTCTTGATGTTCTAGTCAATTGATATGACATTGAGGGTGCTTGTGTTGTTATTTTCCCGATTCCTTCAGGAACTAGGCTGATCGGACTGGCGAAACCGGCCCGGAGTATATTATTATTTTTTATTCAGCAAGGGAAAACGTATAGATTATTTGTGAGAGTAATCTCTTTTATTAATAATAACATCCCTGTGATTAGTAACTCTCAATATATTTAAGAACTTTTGAGAAAGTAAATAAAACATTTAAAAGATAAATAACACTGCCGATTCCAAGGACAACCTGGGAACTAGATTGGGATTGGCCTGTCCGATCTAGTCCAGTTCTAGGGTGGACACAGTCGGTTTCCGGTTCCACAGACTAGGAATTGACCTTATTCAATCAGGATTCCGGTTCCAGGGTGCGAAACGATCCACCCCGGAACCCATCACTCCTAATGTGGACCAATTAACATTTGCACTTGTTCAAATCAAGAGATGCTGGGATCATGTCCATTTTCTATCAATTAATTGACTTGAAAAAAGTCAAAACGCACTCAATTGTGTTTAAAGGAGTGGAATCTTTTCTTCTGCTAAACGACCAGTAGAATCCCAAGTGTTAGAATTATTAACATCCATGAAGTTGAGAGGAAGAAGGAACTTCTAAGAAGAAGAAGAAGGATCAATGAGTAAGAATCTTTTCTGTCGTTTATGATTCTTATCTTGCATTTCCATTGATACAACCTCCTGCATTTATAGGATTTTACAAGGTGAACAATAACTACAGTTAAGGAATCACAAATGAAAACTAAACAACTGATTTGACGATTGATGCAGAGGAGGAAGATCTGGTTTCTGATTTGGTGGAGCTTGATTGTTGCTGATATGATTCTGTTAGTATCCCCCCGCAAGTTGACTGGGCTGAATGGACAGTCGACTTGGACCATAGCATCCAAAACCTGGCCGATGAGAGTCCTTTGGTGAAGATGTCAGCTGGTTGATCGACGGACGAGATATAATGAACTGAGTGTTGAAGGTGTGCCAAGCGCTCCCGTATGAAGTGAAAATCAATCTTCACATGCTTTGTGCGGGCATGGAAGACTGGATTTGCGGTGAGATAGATGGTCGAGAGATTGTCACACTAGAGAGTGGGCAAATGTGGAGGTATTGCCCTAAGGTCACGAAGAAGAAACTCTATCCAAATGAGCTCGGCTGTGGTTGCTGCTAGGCTTTTGTATTTTGCTTCTGTGCTAGAGCGAGCAACTGTTCGTTGTTTGTGAGAACTCCAAGAAATAAGGTTGGAACCAAGATAGATGCAGAAGCCACCAACGGAACGTCGGTTGTCTCGGTCATCGGCCCAGCTGGCGTTGGAGAATGCATGGAGAGCTGTGGATGACATGCAGATGAAGTGTAGCCCGTGCCATGGAGTGTTAGCAAGATAGCGCGGGATCCGCTTGACAGCTTGCCAACTATGATGGTGGGAGCATGAAGGAACTGACAGGCGGTGTTCACAGAGTAAGATATATCAGGGTGTGTGAGTGTGAGGTACTGAAGAGCTCCAACAATGCTGCGATAAAGTATAGGATCAGGCATAGGATCACCGGATTGAGCAGATAATGGTTCATCGGTGGTGCAAGAAGTAGGTGCAACTCTAGCTTCGGTCATCTTAGACCGTTGCAGGATCTCTTGAGTGAACTTGGCTTGATTGAGTAGAAGGCCGGTGGAGGTATGCTGTACTTCCATTTCCGGAAAATAGTGAAGGGGTCCGAGGTCTTTGATGGCAAATTCACCTTGGAGTGAGTTAAGTAAGGCTTGCAGAGGAGCTTGAGGTGACCCTGTGAGGATGATATCATCCACATATACAAGCAGAAAAGTACTGTAATGTGTAGTATGCATAATGAAGAGAGAGGAGTCCGTAGTAGATAGGCAGAACCTGATTTTGAGGAGATATAAATAGAGCCGCTGGTAGCACGCACGCGGCCCTTACTTCAAACCATAGAGAGAGCGTCGAAGATGGCAGACATGAGTCGGACGATGGGGATCAACAAATCCTTATGGTTGCGTCATGTAGACTTCTTCAGATAAGTGACAGTGAAGGAAAGCATTGGAGACATCTAGTTGATGAATGGGCCACCCTCGGGAGTAAGTTACAACAACGACTGTGCGGATGGTGACTGGTTTGGCTACTGGGTTGAATGTCTCCGTATAGTCAATTCCCTGTTGTTGGTGATAGCCTTTGGCAACTAGTCGAGCCTTGTACCTTTCAAGGGAGCCATCGGACTTGAGTTTGACTTTGAAAATCCATTTGCAGCCGATTGGGCAGACATGAGAAGGTGGTGGTACAAATTCCCAAGTTCCATTTTTGAATAAGGCGTTATATTCTGCCGCCATAATTGCTCATCAATCTGGATCTCAGGATGCCTGCGTGAAGCAAGTAGGCTCGATGGGAGTCTGTGTGCCTGTAGTCAAAGCAAAAGTTTGATTTTTTGTGAGCATTCGCCTGTGAATTGTGCCATCTCTCAACCGAGTGATCATGGGATGTGTTGGGACTGAGGTGGAAGTGGCCGAAGTAGAGGAGTTGGAACTGTCAGGCTCCAGAGCTGTGGAGGGAGCTGCGGATGGAGTTGGTGAGAGAGACGGTGCGGACGCAGAGTTAGGATCTACTATTGTAGACGTAGAGGGCAGTTCGGAGTTGTCCGTCGATGGTAGAGGCAGCACCACATTTGTAGGAGGAGGAGCAAAGCATGGTGGTAGAGAAGGTGGATCTCCAAATGGAAAGGTGTTCTCATCGAAAACCGCATCAGCCGCAGTGAAGATCTTACTAGTTCGCGGGCAGTAACATTGATAGCCTCTATACCCCGGAGGATAGCCAAGAAAGATGTAGTGTTGAGATCTGGGGGCATGCTTGTGAGTAGTATAGGGACGCAAATATGAGAAAACTGTGCACTTGAAAACTTTGAGGTGTGACACCTCTGGTCGCGTTTTGAATAGTGTTTGCCAGGGTGTGAGATTGTTGAGGAGAGGAGTCGAAGTCCTGTTGATTAGATGTACAGCCGTTTCAAAAGCATACTCCCAGAACTAGTAGGGAATTGAGGCGTGAGACATAAGTGCGAGGCTTGTCTCGACAATGTGGCTGTGTTTGCGTTTTGCTGTGCCATTCTAAAATGAGGCATAGGGACAAGATACTCGTTGATGTATACCATGTTGGAGGAGATGGTTGCGCACTTCAGTAGAGCGACGAAATCCTGGTGCATCATCACACTGAATTGTTTGAAGTTGATGCTGCAATTGAGTTTCAGAAAATTTGTGGAAAGCCTTGAAACTGTTTGCAAATTGATCACAAGTGGTAAAGGAATAATACCAAGTGAAACGTGAATGATCATCGACAAAACAGACATAATATTTATATCCCGAAACAGAAGTGAGAGGGGACAGGCCCCAAACATCAAAGTGAACTAATTTAAGAGGAAATTTAGCTTTAGAAGGGGATAGGGGGTGGGGTTGGCATTTACTCTTGCTAAGAGCACGGGCCGTACAATGTGAGTGAGACGACTTGTAAAATTTAGTTTGTGTGGATTGAAGGAGACGTGCTACTCTATCTGATGACGCATGACCTAGCCATTGATGCCACAAATTTAAGGAACTAAGAAAGGCAGAAGGAGACTTGTCAGAGGTGGAGACCCGGTATAGACCGTTCTCAAGATGACCTCGGAGGAATACCTAACCAGTATGAGCACATAGAGCAACAAATGAGGTAGGGTAAAACAAGAAAACGCAACTGTTATCGTGAGAAAATTTAGAAACTGATAGCAGATTTTTCGTAATATTGGGAACAACCAAGACATCGAAAAGACGGAATTGAGGACCTGATGAAGGCACGAATGTACCTGTGTGAGTAATGAGAAGAGAAACTCCATCACCGACAGTCAATTGTTGGTTCCCTTTGTACGGAATGACCTGTGAGAGGCCGAAACTGCTGTTGGTGATATGGTGGGCGGCCCCGGAATCAGGATACCAAGACTGGATATCCATAGCAGAAGGTGGAGTAGCAGGAGGGGCATAATAGGCCACTGGTTGAGTAGCTTCGGTTGGGGCTGAATAATTTGCCTGAGGTGGTGGTGGTGTCACAAACTTGGGATTAAAGCGCTCCTTGCAATTATTGGCTCAATGGCCTTGGCGGTGGCATATCTGACAGAACGGCCCAGAATTGTGCCGCTTGCCACCTCCATCAGATGATCGGTAGTTGGGAGAACCTATTGGTGTCGGCAGAAGTGGGTTGGTGTTGGATGGTCTTGCATTTGATGGGCTGAAATTTTGAGAGCCTCCTTTAGGCTGTTGAGGTGTGAATCGTGTTTGGTGAGATATAAAAGCAGCACGTGGAGGAGTATTGGAGGTCATTTTGCCCAACTCTAGTCTTCCTTCGTGTTGAAGCAGCAATCCGTGAAGAGCATCGCGTGAGAGTGCCCCTGATTGAGAGATGACAAAGATCGCTGTGTCTAATCCGAAAAATTCTAGGCCAAGACCATGGAAGATGTGCATGTGATATTCGTTGGCTGAGAGAGGTTCTCCAATGGTGGCCAATTGATCTGTGATGGTGGCTACCTCTTGAAGGAACTCTGTGATTGTGCTGCTTCCTTTAGTGATGGATTGAAATTGAAGCCGCAAAGCCAATGCCTGTGCTGTTGATTGTGCTACATAGGACTCGGAGAGGTATTTCCAGAGACTCAGAGAGGTATTTCCAGATGGCTGCTACAGTGGTGTGGTTCGTCAATTGGGCGACAACAGGGGAGGTGGATGAATTGAGGATCCACCCCATCGCAATTGAGTCACGGATTCGCCATGCCTTGTATTTTGGATTAGGAATTGCTGTGGTGTTGTTGGATACGTGACGAATGTATTGCTAAGGAGCCGGTTCTGAGCCATCAAGAACAGAGAGGAGGTTGGCTACTTGTAGGTATGGAGAAATTTGAGCTTTCCAGATTAGGTAATTTTGTCCAGTGAGCTTCTCCCCTCTGGTAGGTGGAGGCTGGATGTCGAGTTGGGTGCTGCAATGTGAGGATTGACAGCGGCAGCGGTTAATTCTGAGGAGGGAGGAATTGGGTTTGTGTCGGATCGAGAGCTTTCGCTGGATGGCTCTGGTACCATGTTAGAATTATTAACATCCATGAAATTGAGAGGAAGAAGGAACTTCTAAGAATAAGGAGGAGGATGAATGAGTAAGAATCTTTTCTGTTGTTTATGATTCTTATCGTGCATTTCCATTGACAAAACCTCCTGCATTTATAGGATTTTACAAGGTGAACAATATCTACAATTAAGGAATCACAAATGGAAACTAAATAATTGATTTGATTATTGATGCAGAGGAGGAAGATCTGGTTTCTGATTTGGCGGAGCTTGATTGTTGCTGATTTGATTCTGTTAACACCAAGATACCTTAAGACTTTACTTAATCGTCATCTTACTCTCTTAGCATGAAAGGATCAGTAGCACTGATTCAGTATTGGAAACGTGATGGCAGGAGCAGATTTTTTATACAGATACATAACCCCATTTGACTCAGCTGCCTTGGTTGAAGTATTAAAAAACACAGCAGGATGCCAAATTCGATTTCGACTGATTTAAGAGGGTGACAGACCGACAGTTTCTTCGCTATCAGAATGAGTTGGAAAGTGGATTTTCTAATCACGCATCATTATCTTCATATATATGTATATTATATACTGAACGTTTACCAAACCACAAGCTCTCCACGCACGTGACCACCAGTGAACTTTGAAACCCAAAGACGTATCCATGTCATTCTATCTACCGGTTATGGCATAAGCCCCAAAGGAACTGGTGGACCAACCACGTGAAAACCTACCAACATGGTCCTGATCCGACATGGTCCCACCGATGAGGACAAGATCGAGAAGTCACGTTTTGAAGCAATAAAGAGGACTCGTTTCGACATTACTAAAGTCGTGCTCAACATTATTTTCAGCCATCTCTATTCATTTAAAAACTCTTTTCACATTTTCTTTATCTATATTTTATCATTTCACTGAGAGTAAACAGATACCATCTTTAATGACCCCCTTTGAACGTGTCATCAAATCACCTCGTAGTTACACTTTCGCCAATTTTAAGGATTGATTTAAACAGACAATTGCAGGGTGAGGGCCTGTCTGTTTGATCACACCTTAATATTGTAGAGCCACTTGGCATCCATCCCAAGAAATGGTTAGATACACCTACGAGGTAAAAAAGGTTATGTTTCGGAATAGGTGGGGACTGATGCCTGTGTTGCTCTACCGAGCTTCCGTACCTGCCCCTTCAGGGGTAGGTGGGGAAGATGAAGATATAATTAAACTAAGTTGTAACTTAGTTCTAATCCCCATATTAGTTGGTTTTCTAGATTTGAAAAATTCTTCTTTTTCTGAGGGAGAATGTAACTAGAAGAGGTAGCACGAGGACCAAAAATGTCATCCTTATTCTTTACTCGTATTTTTCTATTAATCATATTAATTTACTTAGTATTACTATTCTAGTTTCTAGATTGGTTTATCGTATAATCCACCAAATACGACCTAAAAATGTTCGGACTCTTACTAAAACCATCTCGTTAATGGAAAATTCTTTCTTTTCGCAAATGATATCGAATTTGGTGATAGAATTATAGAGAATTCTCAACTTATAGAAATAGATGTATTTAGCTTTGAATTAGTTGAGCCGATCACATGATTACAAAGTTCATGAGT